GATTTGTATGAAAGTCCAACCCGCAATGAATATTTTAATGTCGCTCCAGCACAGAGGGCGATTGCGATCATCCACCACGCAGCCCTCGTTGTTTCATAATTCAAATCTTTTCATTTTGGGAAAAGTAGATTTTCTGTATCAGCTGCCCAAACTTGGAACGCGTTGCCTGTTGATCTGAAGAAATTAAAGACCATAAGTCAAAGTGACTTAAAAAGTGTCTAAAAGATCATTTATTCAACCTGCCACTGCGAAAAAGTGAAGAGAGCGCTGAAGTCAACTCACGAGAGGCGTTGCAAAAGTTTTGCGATATGATACGATACGATACTGAGAAATGAACAACATGCAGCAGACAACTAATCAGTTTTAAAAAATTGAATGGCCGACAGTATGCTGTCGGTCATTGGTTTGGATTTTAAAGTGTGACTTTGTTCGATGTAGACAACGCTCAGGCTGTCATTTTTCTCACAATAAATGCGCGTATCAGCATATTTTAGAAAGATAAATTTGAAATTATCATAATGACAACCAAAAATGAAAATAGAATCATCACTTCTCATGTTTAGTCGCATCTGAACATTTGTACACATTCGCACACACTTACACCACAGTCACATTCAAAATTTCAACAGGCGGATGTTCAGTTATGTCGTGAGCTTCGATAATTGGACTGGCTAAGGAGGGTCACGTGGACCAAGGCATTTTTGATTTTCTTAATTTGAATTCATTTTTGGTTTCTTTTTGTTACTTTTATTTTTACATGTCAAAATGTACTTCTGTTGCATAAGGGATATTCTAGTCAACAGTATCAAAAGCAAGAATACTGAAGATCAAGTAGAAGCCAGAAGTTATCAGAAGAATAATTGAAAAATTGTTTTGTTAGTGTTGTCGAGAAGGTTTCAGTACTACGACCAAGTCTAGCAACTATATTCAAAGTTTATATATCAATACAAAAAATGTTGGAAATAGTTCTGTAATTAGTTAAAGAGGAAAGACACAAAAATGAGTTTTTAATGTTAGATTTTTAGGAAATTTAGAAGTAGTTAAAGATATTTTGACAAGTTTAAAAATATCAAGACAAAACATTGTAAAAATGTTCTAACTAAATTAGCCAAAAGTAGGTCTACAGATAAATACCTAAAAAGAATTAACGCTTTGCCATATTCAACTTGCCAGCCACTTAACTGTCAGACCTCCACTTGAAGAATTGAATTGTTGTAGCAATCGAATTTAAATGGTAGACAACATTTTCTGGTAATGGCCTAATGGTTAAGATGGCCTGGTGATGTTTCGCACTGTGTGAAGTGACCGGGTTCGATTCGATTGTATGACAAAGAGATCCCTGCCTATCACATGCTTCGTGTGTGATGCGTCGTTTCGCACGCATTCTTATACGATGTTTGGGCGTGTTGTTCATTCCTTTGAACTTAGGAGGCGTGTGAAAGACTTTTTTAAGTATTTGTGCAACACAACTCAATCAAGTTAGTGCAGTAACGAGTCGAAGGTGAAATTTATTGTTGCTTGCATTTTGCTCCTACCAAGCTGGTTCAGTAATAAATTTTTCAACTCTTCTAACAATTTTATGTCCATAATTTTGAAAGATGTGGAATGACTTGCGGATTTTTTTTCATTTCGAATATTCTTTTTCATGTCCAAGCTTATAAGGGCGGGGTCAAAATTTTAAAACGGGGGTTGGTATTTTTGAAATAGTTTCAGCATGTCTTAATGTGTTGATTGGGGGTGAGCAACATTTGTGGCTGACGACATTTTTTTACTTATCACTCTAAGACAATTACTTTTACTGACTTTTAATACAAAACGGGGGTAGGTTTTGTGTTAAAAGTCCCCCTAGATCCGCCACTGGGCACTGCCATTGCCGTGAGTGGACACGAGTGCAAAAAGATCCCAGCCCATCACATGTAATGCAGTGTGCTGCTGAGTCGTTTCATGCACTGTGTGTTCGCTGCTGAGGTCTCTGAGAATTGCTGAAAAGAGATTCGTAATAGTAATAATAAAAATTATAATAATAATAATAACAATGGGAACTCTTTTATTTTTGCCAAAAGTAAAATAAACATACAGTGGAATGAAATAAAATAAAATAATAATAATAATAATAATAATAATAAATAATAATAATAATAATATGTAAAACTTGAAAAGAATTAAAATTAATTGGTTTATTGACTTTTTCACCACATTTTGAATGAAATAATTTTTAAAATAAAATAATAAACTGTAGACATAATGCCACATGAAAGCTAGACAACAAATTTTATTTTAAGCTACATGCAATTAGGAAATCTTTTTGCATTCACAAAAATATTCTGCTGTATTTCTCAATAAATAATAAATCAGACAAACAGCATGCTTTACGAAGGATGCAAGGACCGCCTCACCGTTATTACGTACAACCTTTTCAGGATGCAACTTTTATGCGCGCAACAACAAATAGTGGTAGTTTTTATATGAAATACCTGTGTTTTAAGACATTTGAATGTTTTGATAAAATCTAAACTGTAGAATATAACATCATTCGCACATTCACACTCTCTTTCTTCTCTCTCTCTCTCTCTCTCTCTCTCTCTCTCTCTCTCCCTCACACACACACACAGATGCAAATGGTGGCTTCCAACACACATTCTCATTTTATAATTTGCAGATTTTATTAATGTTATATCCAGTATGTCAAAATAATGCATAAATAAACGGACGAATGAATGAATGATTGAATGAATATATTAATAAATAAATGCATGAAGAAATGATTGAATGACCCACTTATTTTGTGCAGGTTAGGTTTTGATGAATGAATGAGCGCAACAGCTTTGCATGATATTAATCTTTGCTTGGTAATTTTTATTCATCACAAATTTTGGCAAATTTTCTATATAAAACATGATTAACAATTGATTATTAAAAACAAAAAATTTTGTTGCAAACGTGTCAATACCAATATTAATACTTGAAATAACAAATACTTGTGAAATTTAATATCTCTTTAATACTAATATGATTCAATCTTAAATTAAACAACACGTACTCAAAGTCTAACTTAATAAAAACAAAAGTTTTGTTGCAAACGTGAATACCAACGAAAAATCCATAAGTTCAGACAATCAAAATGTAATGATGCACAGATAATGAAAGTGAATTTTACAAAAACCTATTTGGTAAAAAGGTGGCCAACCCTGACACTGCAGAATCAGAAACATGCAAGGCAAACATTCATTTAAAACATTTCAGGGACGGCCTTATAAAACTTCATCCACATTTCAACAAGGGGGCTGGCGGCGGATGATGAACGCCTTCATTCTCATTCAACATCAATTAGACAGCAAACAAAACTGTCAGAAAAAAAAACCAATACTACAACCACCTACTTGTATGTTCTTGGAGAAACCATGACGATGACGATGATGATGACGTAGCTGTTTGCATGATGATGATCATCATCGTCACGGCAGACTCTGTCATCAACATCATGCTAGTCATTCAGTGTATGTAACGTTCTATTGGCGACAACATGGGGCACATCCACCCGATCAATTAAAACGACCACCACCATTTCAGTCCCTGTTCGTTATTGTCGAAATATTGAGAGTGCTGGGTTTGTTTTGCAAATTTCATTCTTTGAATAATCACGTTTAACAATCAACAAATTTAACAATTTTCTAACTGATAACAATTCAAACGTTAACAAATCTCTAACTTAAGAGAATTATGTTGGAAGGTTATTGTTGGTGTTTAAAAAATTGAAAATTTTCAATTCAAACAGGAAAATTTAAATCATTTTAAATTTATCACTTGTTCTGCATTGGAACGTTTAAAATTGTACATATTCAGTGGCGGATCAAGGGCGGGGGGCAGGGGGGCACAAGACCTCGTTGTGAGCAGTTTTTAATAAAAGTCAGAAAAAGAACAGTTTTATTTATAAAATCGACCAAAAAAAGGGCCTCAGCCACACTACCACAAATCTTGCCACCCCCCGTCAAAATTGGGGCCACCCCGTCAAAATTTAAACATTTTCAAAATTTTGCCTCCCCCCGTTAAAGTTATCGAGATTCGCCACTGTACATATTATATATGTTTATATATATATATATATATATATATATATATATGTGTGTGTGTGTGTGTGTGTGTGTGTATGTATGTGTGTGTGTTTGTGTGTGTTTGTGTTTGTGTGTGTGTGTGTGTGTGTGTGTGTGTGTGTGTGTGTGTGTGTGTGTGTGTGTGTGTGTAAATATATTTCATACATTTATATAAATATTGAATTTGTTGACGAAACAAATCACTATAAATTTCCATTATTAAAATCCTTGTTTATCACACAGTTTGAATTTGTTTTACACACGTTTTTGTCCAACTTCAACTAGAAAACATCAGCAATGAAATAAAATAAAGTGAGAGTGTCATAAAAAACTGTCTCAGTTAATTTTTGCGATTTAAAACAGTTTCCAAAAAAAGAGAAAATAAAATTGTGTCATGCACAGACAACATAAAATTTTGAAACATTGAAACGGCAACAAAGTTTGCATCACTTGTACTCGCAATGCAGCCAGGCATGTAGAGGAAGAGTAGGAGCGGAGATAGCTCCATGTACGACGATGCTCGACATACATATCCATCCATCCCATGCTCGCTTACATGCAACATACAATCCTACTATCAACATCTTTACGGGCTACGTTGAAATGAAGCGTCCAATTGGTGTTCTGTGCGAAGAACATGCTACATTTCATTTTAATTTGACGTTACAACTTTATTTATTATGTATTTGTTTTATTTTTTTATTTATTTCACTCTCCCTCTTCTCTCTTTCTCTCTCTATGTATATATATCTATATCTATATAAATCAATATAGATATACCTTTTATAAACCAATATATGATCAACTAAAAATCTTTGTAGCGGCCTGAAATGGTTTTGTGAAAGTTGTTTAGATCAGCTATTTGATATGAATTCGTTGTTAAAATTAATCAATACCAGTAGATATGAAATGTTAGCAAAATTGGATGTAAATAGAGACGAAATGTTGTCAAAAATAGATAAACTGGACGAAATGAACATGATGGTTAAATCAGAAATTGAAAACATAAAATCAATAATAAACTCGAATGAAAACAAGTTTAGTCAGGTTAACCGCTCTGACGACGGTCTTCGCAGTGAAATCGATAGTATGAAAAAAGAAATGACTGTTACATTTGCAAGCATTATAAAGAGAAATGTAGACAGCATCAACAATGTGGTCAAGGTAGTACAGAAAACTCTTGCTGAAGTGGATGAAACAAAGAAAAAAGAAACAAACTTGATTATATTTCGCTTAAAAGAGGGCGAAAACGATCGTGCTAATGTTGAGACAATATTTAAACACTTAACAGATGATGTAACGGAAAAAAATATTCTTAAGATAACACGGCTTGGTAAGAAGGATGAAAATAAAATCAGACCTTTGTTGGTAAAACTTGAAAATATTGGGATCAAAAGTTTAATAATGAAAAACGTGTATAAAATAAAATCACTGGCTGAAGAATATGCAGGCATTGGACTAAGCGATGACTTAACAAAAGAACAAAGACAGGAATACAAGATGCTGGTTGAAAAAGCTAAGAAATTGGAATCTGATGATAAACGAGGTTTTTTATTCCGGGTCAGAGGACCGGTTGGAAGAGGGAAAATAGTGTCGTTTCCAATGAAAACGAAACAAAACACACCAGTAGCATAAGCACGGAAGAGGTGATGTCTAGAAATGATGTGATGAGTGATTGTAATGTATTGCTGGGAATGTTAAACATTAGATCAATTAATTCAAACTCGGATAAAGTTTACGAAATGATTCAAGACGGCTTAGACATTCTTGTTTTGGTAGAAACGTGGCATGGTTCCACAGAAAATGTATCAGTAAAGTCATCGATGCCACCTGGGTTTAGATATGTTGATTTCTTGAGGTTGAATGATCCGCATCATGGGGGAATAATAGTATTCTTTAAATCAAACTTCAAATAAAAAAAGATTGATCTGCCTCCTTTTGACACGTTCGAAGTTGTCGCTCTCAAATTTGTTATAAACAGTAAAGATTTTGTTTTGTTATCTCTATACAGACCTGGTTCAGTTCAAGTGAATGCATTATATTTCGAAGAATTGTCAAAAGTTTTAGATAACATAACACTCCTAAGTTCGAGCATATTGTTGGTTGGTGATTTTAACGTTCACATTGAAAGATGCAATCATCGTCACGCAAACAGACTACTTGATCTATTTGAAACGTTTAATTTAACCAACCTGATCAGTGAGCCAACTCACGAACGAGGTGGAACACTCGACCTGGTTGTTTGTTCTGAAAATTTTCATGTTTCAATTAGTAATATATTTCTTAGTGGTGTGTACTCCGACCACAGTTTGATAAATGTTAGCATACCAATTAAACGAATATGTCTTAAAAAAGTTCGCAGATTAGTAGATCGTGGAGAAAACTTGATGAAAATCTGTTTTTTTCGTATGTTGCAAATTCTCCGTTATCAAAGCCATGTCAGAGTCACGACGTAAATTTTGAATTTGAACTTTTCAATGATGAAATGAAGAAAATTGTTGATAAAGTTGCGCCTCTTCACTTTATAGAACACAGATGCGATTTGATAACTCCTTGGTTTGATGATGAATGCAGAACAGTTAAAAAACTTTGTCGACAGAAAGAAAGGAAATATAGAAAATATTTATCATCTGCCTGTCGGAGTGAGTGGATTGCTGCTTTGCGAAATAAAACTAAATGTTTCTCTAAAAAAAGAAATTGTTATTGGAAAACACTGGTAAAGGAAAACGACGGAAACCCTAAAAATTTGTGGAAAGTAATTAATAAAATCATTTGCAAAAATTATGATAATGAATCGTCTCAGGAACATGTAGACATCACTTGTTCTCAATTTATTGAACATTTTGAAGAAAAAATCAACAAAATAAAACGAGACACCAAAGTAGTTGACAAACCAGTTTTTGATGGATGTAAATTAAACAATAGCTCTTTGTTTTCAAATTTTGCAGTGGTTTCAGAAGAAGATGTAAAAAAAATTGTTCTTAATCTGCCATCTAAATCTTGCATGTTAGACGTCCTTCCTACTCACATTTTGAAAAAACATATAGACCTCTTCATCTCGTTTCTCACAAGTTTAGTTAATTCATGTTTGTGTGCTAGAGCACTTCCTGTTTTTTGCAAGCATGCGGCTGTGATACCCATCTTGAAAAAAACAAACGCAGATTTTAATGAGCTCGGAAACTACAGACCAATATCTAACATTTGTTTCATCTCCAAAATCATAGAACGTGTCGTAATAGGTGAACTTGTAAATCATTTAAATAAACATAATTTGTTCCCGATTCATCAATCTGGATATAAACGTTACCATTCTACAGAGACGGCATTGTTATATGTCTTGTCCGAATTATTTGCCTCCATCGACAAACAGAATGTTGCTCTACTCGCATTTTTGGACATGAGTGCAGCGTTTGACTGTGTCGATCATCAAATTCTATTGAACAGATTAATTCACGACTTTGGCATTGCTGGAACTGTTATCAAGTGGTTCGACTCCTATTTGACTGGAAGGACTCAACAGGTATTTTTCCAAGGGGATCTGTCTAGTGTAAAAACAAAGTCATCCGGAGTGCCACAAGGTTCAATACTTGGACCTATTTTGTTCATACTGTATACAGCTGATGTATTTAATGTAATTGATACTTTTGGTTTTTCTTACCATGCATATGCCGACGACATTCAAATAATAGTCAGCAGTGAACCAGATCAGTTCGAAAGTGCAGTTGAAAGACTAATAAAATGTTTGGCTGAAGTTGACACATGGATGTCAAAAAATTGTCTAAAACTTAATCAAAATAAATCACAGTTTTTACCAGTGGGCACCTGGCAGCAGCTATCAAAAGTAAAAATTGATTTAATAATGATTGAAGATAATGAGATAAAATTTTGCAAGAAGGCTACCAATTTGGGATGTATTTTTGACACTAAATTAAAACTTTGTGACCACATAAAATCGCAATCTAAATCATGTTCAGCACAACTTCAACAAATATACCGAATAAGAAAATATCTGGATCAAACTGTAAACACAATCATTGGTTCATGCGTTTGTCCACTCGAGATTGGATTATTGCAACAGTCTGTTTTATGGGTTGCCAGAAATGTCTATCGCTGACCTCCAGTCTATTCAGAACAGAGCTGCAAAGGTGATTGTTAGAGGCAGAAAATACGATCATGTGACGCCAATTCTGAATAGCCTCCATTGGCTAACAGTGAAAAATCGAATTTTTTTACAAAATATGCGTCATTATGTACAAGGCCATAAACGGACAACTCCCAGAATACCTGGCTGATAGATTCATAAAGAAGCCGCTGTCTTCGACTGGCAGACGCATGCGATCAGATGACGTCAATTTGTTGATTGTACCAACTACGCAGCTGCAGACATCGTCTAGAGACATTGCAGTGTCGGGACCAATCGTCTGGAATAGTCTGCCAATGTCGATGAGAATGTCAAAGATGAACATTGTTGATTTCAAAAAGAATTTAAAAACTTATCTATTTGCGATGAACGATTGTAATTGATTGTATCATATCGTCTATTGATAGGATGTACATTATTTCACTGTTCGTTTATTATTTTTCTTTTTTCGATAGCGCTTGTGAGAGATATTCATTTTAATAGGCGCTTTATAAGTGTTTGATAATAATATATAAATATAAATATATATATATATATATATACATATACATATATATATTTTCTTTATTCAAAATGGTTGTTAAACATTACGCTTAATCATTTCTATTTTCAAGATACTGGTCATTTATGGTTATAAATTTTTGATTATCATTACATTAACATCCATTACAGTTTATTTATTTTTTATTTTTTTATTTATTTTTTATTTATTTCTTCAAAGACACAAAAAAGTAAACAGAAAGATACTTGTAATAGTGCCTTAACTAAAAATTGACAAAAATATTTCGATGAGAAAACTAAAATGACCAAACTTTTGCAAAAATATACAGACACATTGCATAGTTACGAATATATATATATATATATATATACATATATATATATTATATATATATATTATATATATATATAAAGTACAGTTCTTTCATTCGACAGTTCTTTTATTTCACAAACGTACGATTTTGTTACACGCTATGTACACTGTTTTAGTTTAATTCGTTGCACAAATTATTTTGTAGTATCTTTTCAAAAGTGCAAATCGCTTTCTGATACAAACAACTCTTTTAACCTGTGTAGTGTATCTATATTTTTTCCATTGTTTCAATTCTGTTCTTTTTTTACTTTAAGTCAATACTTGCTCAATTTAGTATATAGTATCACATTATCTATGACTGGCCTCAATAATAATTATCATCATTTTAATTCTAATGAATGCAATTATTATCATGCGTCTGATATGATAAACAATTCTTATAGTTTAAATAATCCATCTAGTAATAATTTTTTCGATACTACAGCATAAATTCTAGAAGTTTAGTAAATAAAATTGAAAATCTCCTTGAAAAAGTAAAATTCATCTGCAGGTTGATGATCCAGCAACCTTTCAGTGTTTATTTTAGTAGAACATTGATTGGATGCTGAATAATTATGTATAGTTCAGCAAGCCGTTATGTGATAACTTAGTTCAAAAACTTCACTGCATATACCTCTTCTTGGCAATGATGGAACCCAATAAGTGTTTTGATGGAGTATTTTGCTCAGACATGCATCTGATCATGATAATCTGTTTTTGTCATTCGCTGCCCAATGTGCAATCGCACTCGGATAACTGGAAATTGTTTCGTTTTCATCACATTAAATCGCAACCGTTGAGAATGCATATAATAAGTTGGAATGATTAATTGGCATGATGGAATGTTCCCTGGAGTGAGCCGTTTTGTTATTGTTAATTAGGCTGATAACGATATCTCAACTGCATTCATCTGAGGCGAACGTCATGTGACCATCTGATGTGGATGTCAAATGTTGTTTCGGTAAGCGCAAAGATGCTTACGTAAAGTTCTTCACTCACTCAACTGCAATAAACTTTTTTTCCACATTCACAGTACGCGTTAACTTTAAAGTTTTGGAAAGATTATATTTGGACCAAGTCATCCCGCAATAGCATCAACGTGAAACATGGCACTTCTGCTGTTCTGCTCTCTGAGCTAACTTGCCAACCGGTAAGGTGTAATGATAAATCCTTCTACGCAAGGATCAATGACAATTTCACACAATACTCCCATCTATATTAATTATTATACAGACTTTTGAATATAGAACATCATTTTCAAAATGATGATGACGTGGAGTGAGTGAAAATGCGATTTGTTGTTTTTGACTGGCTTGGGTCAAAACATTGTACCTGTGCCCGCCACGTAGGCTTGTTAGTGGATGCCATTGATCTGCGAATATATAAACAAAAGCTATTTGTAAAAAATAATTATTATTAATTATAAATTAGTGACTGGATCTAAGTTTTTTTTATAATAAAAAGCACAACTCGATGAAAATTTTGAACAAATAAAAATGATGACGTCTGATGATGCATGATGCTAACGAGAAGCAATAAATCATTTCAAAGCCAGGTATTAAAACTTTAAACAGCGTTATACGAATAATTTTACACATGAAGTGAACACTTCTGCCTTCATCGATTTATTAGACGAATAAATTGTTGCATGTTGTTGGTGTGCTCTTTATGTTACATCCATGCAGGCAGAATATTGTTGTGTTTGTACCGCAACACAACTTAGCCAAAGTAACACATATATTCATGTTGGATATAACAACGTTTAGGTCGTATCAAGCAGGCCTCTAAAACTTGCTTACAAAAATTAATTTCAGGCTTTTTCTTAATCGGTTAAAAATTGCAAAATTTTGGTTTTTTGAAATATTTAAAATTAAAATTGTGATAGCTTCAATTAATTTTGTAAGCCTAAGAGTTGACTGTTTATTCCATTGTTCTATTGTGAATTTTGTTTCCAGCTTTCAATGTGAAAGCTTGACATATTTTGAATAAAGTGGTGAATATATTCAAAGCGTTTCATTAAACTATTCACGCCTGCCATACCACACCACATTCACGAGACTTCCGCTCCCGCTTACGAGTTTTGATATTTTTCAAATTATATTAAATTCACGTTATTTGTAAACTTTTGCAAGAAAATATGTATTTTCGTACATTATCCACAAAATTTGTAAACTAATTAAATTCGCATTCTTCCCATACAAGCATTTTTAAAATATTAACCAAACTAACCCGACGTATCAAAATACAAATCATATGTGTGCAATTGAGAAAATTGTCTATGTTATTTTACATAAACTCATTGATTCAACCTCATAAACCTCCGCACCAAATTTTCAAATTGCTATGTAGTTATTTAATTTTTACCGTAATTTCGATCATCTATCCACATGTGCTTAATAAGGTTGAGTCTGTTTGAGCAAGCAATGAAATGGCACAGTATAAAAATATATAAATTTTAAAAAATGTGTTAACTTTTACTCGCGTGTCATAGAAAAATTTTCATCATACATCGCCTGCCTCTGCACGGGTACACGTCGTTAGACATCATAAACCACGTGGCTTGGATGTTCCGCTTGCAAAAACAATTTACGTAAAGTCCTAAAAATGGAGTCTGGGGAATGATTGATTGCATGGGCGTCGCCGGGAAACATTTTCAATAGAATCACTGCACACTGCATGGAAATAAATAAACAATTTGGATTCTTCAAATAACTATGTCTGAATAACTGGATTCGAACTGGCTAATTTGTTTCCGCATTAGTTATAAAAAATGTATTTAATTTTGTCCATCATTTTATATACTGAAGACATAGTTTATTATTGTATATAAATCTAAAGTAGCCAAAACGGTTTCCGTGTGTTTGTTGGTGTATTAGAGGCTTATTAACTATCCTTATCACACCTTCCTTTTATATTTTCTTTGTCATAATAGTATTCAACGACGCTAGACTTATTAACATAATAAATATAAAATTTCATCTAAAATTAAATTATATATTTTTATATATGGTATACTTTTCCCCAAATAACAGGTTTAAACTGTATAATTTGGTACATGTTTCTCGAAAACTCGTCCCCTTTCTGTTTATTAATTGCCTTTTTAATGTATGAAGCGACCATAGCAACCAAACGTAATTAGCGTTAATTACGTGAGGCTACGACTGTAGATTCGACCAAGGGGCGGTGTATCAATGATGGATTCCGATAGAATGGAGCATACGTAATAGACTAAAAGCCTATTAAAACAAGTGATACATTTTAATTTCAAAAGTGCCATTTCTTTTTATCCAAATTTTTATTTGTATAAAAAATAAACGAACAATTTTAAATTAAGAAAAGTTAACAGTCGCATCGACAAATTTTAATTTTTGTTGAATTAAAATAATTAAAATTCATTGTTTTTGTTTCATCGCACATCACACTTGTGCAAAAAAATGTGTTGCACGCATGATCTTTTTCGAAAGTTTTAACAAGTAAACTTGGCATGGCGTAAGCGCGCGTGATTATTAATTATTTTACGTTACATTGCTAAATTAATGTTTACTTTAAAATCTATATATATTTATTTTATATAGAACGCAATACTTTAATATAAAATTTATACATGATTTACAACTAGGAAAGTTTTTTCAAACGTGCAACAATTTTGCACAGGTTTGTTGTTTCTACAGATATGCTAATTACTCCATACAACTCTCAAAGATACATTTCATAGCCTATATGTTTAACCCATGTATATATATATATATTTTCTTGATTCATTTTGTTCGTCTCTGTCCTGTCTCTGATGTTATTTGGGAGATTCAAAAATTTACAAATTTTTCAACATTTTAACACTTGAAACTTTATAGGCGCTATATCATTCGACCAATAAGATTTAAGAATGGAAGTAAATTAAAGGTATGGAATGTCCATGTCATTATTATAATTATTATATATTTATTTATTTATATCGCAACGTTTTAGTTAAAGTTCCGTAATTTAAAATATAATTTTTTTTATTTTAATTAATAACTTTTTAATAATATTTCAAAGTTGGAAAATATAAAATATAATTTTATTTACAATCATGGGCTGTCCATAATAGATGTCACCCTCTGAGGGTGGGGGTTAAAAGATTTGGGGCACTTTGTGAAAAAGAAGGAGGGTGTAAAATCTTGTGACATCCCGTTTTGCCTTGTATTTTTCAATAATAAAAATAAAAACAAATGGAAATGTGAACGAAACATGAATCTGGAATGAGAAAAAATTAGACTAGCGAATAGCAGTTTATATTTTTGTGAATTCAGTATCAACAGTAATACGGACAAGAACGATCTCAATGTCAATCGGAAACGGAAATTGAAGACTAAAAATTTCTGTTGATTATTTCCTGAAACGATCTTGGCTGGCAGTGATGTTGAGGATAATAAGGACGATGCTGACAATGACGACAATGACTTGTCGCATGACATGAGGATCAATTCTTGTAGCTTTTCTTGCTGGCAGAGACGATGTCGGCAACAGCGAGGATGATGCCGACAATGCCGAGTAACATGCAGATAATAAGACAAAGTTGAATGTACAATTTGTGTAAAACTGGAGCTTTTCTATGGATTTTGTTTCATGCAAGATGACGAAAGTAGAGATAATGTTATCAATTTTTTGGTAACGTCAATTTTTGTTGAGAGTTTTTCAACATTTTTTCTTTGATTTTGCCAGTTATTGCAGCGTCACCAACTAGCAACTCTTTGGATTCTGCAATGAAATTAGGCACATAATGTTCAATGCAATTTTTTGTATCAGCAAAGATTCATCAATATAGTTGAACTTATCAATAACGCAGAAAAGTTGTCACATATATTTGAAATTTTTAACGTTTTTAATGCAATTTTTGTCAACGATCTTTTTTCAGAAATAAAATTTTAGTCACCATATTGCAACCACAGATATATCTTTTCAAAACAACGTGTCAGATTAAAAGAAAATTTTTACATTTATGCAGTGGCGTATCCTGAATTTTGTAGTGGAGAGTGATTTAAAAATTGTAAAGTTGGTGACTTTTTTAAGCTCATTGTTTTAGTAAACTGCCATTTAATCCCGTTTCAGTGTGGGAACTCTGTGTCAATTTTTTCAATACTTTTTCTAGGGTAACGCTTAGTAAAGCAGCTTGTGTATAGCATAGAAGTAGTCAAAATAGGTAATTTGAATGAATGCTGACAGGAATATATGCCACTAGAGAGTTAGTATATTTTCTGCTAAGGTTATAAGCACATGTGCTGTTAAGAAGTTATTAGCATATTACGTATATATTTCATTACGCCTCAGGCATCTATCTTTTATACACTGTCCTTTGATTTTGTGTGCCTATGTAATATGTTGTATATATATATATATATATATATATATATATATATATATATATATATATATTATTCAGTAAATTTCGGTAACAAATTTTCATTTAAGCATATTTCATTAAACGCGATGCTTATATTATTGTTATTTAATTTTTTATTAAGATTTTCTATTTTTCTTATTAGTTTTTTATAATTATAATTTAAATTAAAAATTAGAACACCAATATTCATTATATAATTATTTATTAAGCGACGTTTCGAATTTTATAATTCATCTTCAGGCAATTTAATATTAATTCAAATAAAACATAACAATAAACTGTGAGATGACGTAATAAGAGTTGAGCGCGAAAGTAACGTAACGATTAAAGTTAAATAACGTAAGTAGTTAAATTAAGTATAATAAACAATTATTTTGTAATATAACATAATAAAATATATTATATGTGCAATATTATGTTAATAATAATAATAATAAATTAAACATTTCGTGATGAAGGTAAAATAAAATTGGAATAAATTTGTTTGTTCAAATTAGGTTTATAAATATTAATAAATAGGGATTCTAAAATTTGTAGTCTGGTAAAATTAGTGTCTTTCATTAATATTTTAGTATTATCTTCTAATATTTTGCGGGATAATTGCTGGTTGTGGCAGTCATGGTAGTGTTGATTTGGAGCTCCGATGTTCAAATGGCAGGTTAAACGGCGTGTCAGTTTTGTGGTAGTCATTCCAATATAAGAAGATGGACGAAGCCTACAGTCTTCGTGAGGACATAGAAATTGGTAGATGACGTGGGAGTGCTGTGTTGTTGCTAGTTTAACGTTGGGACTATTTTTTATTAGTAGTTGTTGCGACTTAAAATTTTTATAATAAATAAGAAGGTTTATTTTTTCATTAGAATCAACTGGATGGACTGCTTTTTTAATGATTTTTCTAATTATATATTCGTCTTCTTTATACGAAGAGCTCATTAAGTTACAATAAAATAAAGTTAATTTTGCACTGTCGGTATCGTTGTTTGAGTTGTTGTTATTGTTATGAATGGAGTTTGCGATAACGAGGTTGTCATTGATTGTGTTGTTATCATTGTCATGATCCACATGGTCATCGTTATTGTCGCTGTTATTGTTGTTGGAGTTGGTAATAGAGTTTGCATCATTGTCACCGACATGATCAGCAACAACGTCGTTGTTTGAGTTGTTTACATTACCGACAAGATTATTGAAAATAACATGGTTGTCGTTGTTGATTAGGTTATCGACAATGACTTGTGCAATAGTAACATGGTTACCATTGTTTTCGTTGTTATTTATGTTATCATTATCATGATCATTGATAATACTTCATCACAAAATGTTTAATTTATTATTATTATTATTAACATAATATTGCACATATAATATATTTTATTATGTTATATTACAAAATAATTGTTTATTATACTTAATTTAACTACTTACGTTATTTAACTTTAATCGTTACGTTACTTTCGCGCTCAACTCTTATTACGTCATCTCACAGTTTATTGTTATGTTTTATTTGAATTAATATTAAATTGCCTGAAGATGAATTATAAAATTCGAAACGTCGCTTAATAAATAATTATATAATGAATATTGGTGTTCTAATTTTTAATTTAAATTATAATTATAAAAAACTAATAAGAAAAATAGAAAATCTTAATAAAAAATTAAATAACAATAATATAAGCATCGCGTTTAATGAAATATTTATTTATTCTTATATGTATGGTACTTATTTTTTAATTCTTTCTTCACAATAACTTTGCTGTAAGTTTTCGTTGCTGAGGTGAGGTTGCCTTCGTTTTGTTATTGTATTCTCTTTGTGTGTACTTTTACTTGCGTTGGCTTTTTCTCGTACTCTTATTTGTGTAACTGTAACGATAATAATAATTGACAAACATTAATTAGTAGTAGATATAACACGATAATAGTACTCAACAATAATAAAAATATTAAAATTAGTTAAAAAATAATATTATTTATTTTATTAGTATATGTAAGAAAAATTCATCAGTTATCCTGACCTGCGCCTGATCCATGCCGACGGTAATATTACTGGATGCGTCTCTCTCCATGGTCCGAACGATCGCAGACAAGGAAAAATTTGATCCGACCACTTCCACAAACAACCACGTAGTTAACAGGAAGCAACTGGCCATAGCAGGCATTTGTGCTCTTCTTGATCATTTGAGCTCCAACTATAAATTAGAATTTGTGTCCTTGGTTACTGCTTTTCGGTCTATCTATGTGTATTTTTTAATAAAATTCATGAATTAGTAACATTAATTAAAGTGTATTTCAATTTATTTGATAAATAATTTATAGTATAATATAATTGTAATGTAATGTAGACTTGGGCATTAGAAAGTAAGACCCATCAATCTTCATTGATACATAAATACCAATGGGTCAGTAAATGCCTATGCACTGGTGTAGAGATAAGTGACTGATACTTGGTAATTGGACATGAAGGACTTGCATGTTTTTGGACATATTGGATCAAAATTAATATCACTAATAATATAATAATTTAGTATAATAATAATATATGCTTCTGCACATGCACAGGTGACGTTTTCACACACATTTAACCAGCTGGTCCCATTCACGAGGGACTACAATGAAATCAAATCGGCTCTTTCGACGTACGAGGACCAAAACATAACAGACATCGAAGTGGGCCTCGAGGGCGCGGCTCGTGTCATCTTGAATGAGTGGGGTGTGACACCTACGTCACAGGTTCATTTGTTCTTCTCATCTAATTTTATTAGCTGATGATGTAGGTAGGGCTTTACAGTTTTTTTTTAATTTATTAGTAAATGTATTGATCCAGAGTTATGACGTGACAGTAATTTTTTTAAATTTCCAACTGCAAATTGTGGTTGGTGGTTAATTTTTTTAAAAAAGTTTTCAATTCTGATTTCTGCTGATATATTAATCAAAATTTCAAAATTTGTTTAAGAGCAATCTATAACAAATTTATTTTTAAAGACAACTTTTCACAACATTTTTGATGTTCAAGTAACATTCTTATTGAATTATATGGAAGT